TGGAGGCATAATGCTACCTGACTTTAAACTATACTACAAAGCTATAATTACCAAAACAGCATGGTACTGGCATAAAAACAGACACATTGATCAATGAAATAGAATAGAGAATCCAGAAAAAAAATCAAATTAAAAGATAATATGAATCTTTGACAAAGGCACCAAGCCTACACACTGGGGAAGAGACTGCCTCTTCAGCAAAGGGTGCTGGGATAACTGGATATCCATGTGTAGGAGAATGAAACTAGACCCATACCTCTCATCATATACTAAAATCAACTCAAAATGGATTAAAGAATTAAATATATACCCTGAAACAATAAAACTTCTTAAAGAAAACATAGGAGAAACACTTCAGGAAGTAGGAATGGGCACAGACTTCATGAATACAACCCCAAAAGCACGGGCAGCCAAAGGAAAAATAAACCAATGGGATTATACCAAACTAAAAAGCTTCTGCACAGCAAAAGAAACAATTAACAGAGTTAAAAGACAACCAACAGAGTAGGAGAAAATATTTGCAAAATGTACATCTGACAAATGATTAATATCCAGAATACACAAGGAACTTAAACAACNGGTCTCTGGAGAGCTGGAAGTACCTATAAGATCAACCATTAAACCCTGAGCTGCACAAAAAACCTTTCCTAGGGAATCAGCAGCAAAGCAGCAATTTAAACAACCACACAGCTCAAGTACTGGTTCCCACAGGAAGTTCCCCCGTGTTAGAAGCAAAGGACAATAATTAGTTTCAGCCCAGGCACACCACCAGCACCTTGGGGCCTGCCTGGGAACTGGAAGCTCAGATATGGGGACCAGGCCCCACTCCCACTTCCAGGCAAACTGCACCAGTACCTTGGGGCCAGCCTGGGGACCTGAAACATAGAGAAGGGGACTGGACCCCCTCCCAAAACCAGGCATACCACGCCGGCACATTAGGGCCTGCCCAGGGACCTGAGGCAGGGAGAAGGGGGCCGGACATCTATACCACAACCAGGCACAACATGCAAGCACCTTGGAGCCCATCCAGGGACCTGAGGCAAGGAGAAGGGGAACTGTTCTCTCTCCCACAACCAGGCACACCGTGCCAGCACCTTGGGCCCCTCCCAGGGACCCAGGGCATGGAGAAGGGGACCGGACCACCCTCCCACAACCAGGCACACCGTGCCAGCACCTTGGGGCCCACCCAGGGACCCAGAGCATGGAGAAAAGGGGACTGGACCTCTCTCCCACAACCAGGCACACCACACCAGTGCCTCAGGCTCTGCCCAGGGACCTGAGGCATGGAGAAGGGTTCTGGACCTCTCTCCCACAACCAGGCACACCAAGCCAGCGCCTTGAGCTCCACCCAGTGACCTGAGGCATGGAGCCAGGAACCAGACCCTCCTCCCACAACAAGGCACACCACAACAGTACCTCAGAGCCCACCCAGGGACCAGAGGCAAGGAGAAGGGGACTGGACCTCTCTCCCACAACCAGGTACACCAAGCCAGTGCCTCAGGTCCTGCCCAGTGACCTGAGTTATGGAGCCAGGGACTGGATCCTCCTCCCACAGCAGGCACAAAACGCCAGCACCTCGGGGCCCACCTGGGTATCCGAGGCATGGAGAAGGGGACTGGACCCTCCTCCCACAACTAGGCACATGGCGCCAGTGCCTTGGAGCCTGCCCTGTGACCCAGGACATGGAGAAGGGGACTGGACCCCTCTCCCACAACTAGGCACATGGCGTCAGTGCCTTGGGGCCTGCCCAGGGACCAGAGGCAAGGAGAAGGGGACCAAACACACCCCACAACCAGGCATACCGCCAGTGCTAAGGGGCATACCAAAAACAGAACCTCCACATTGGTGGCCCACCACAGTCACCACAATAAACATGGTTGCTGCAAAAGTGGCTGGATGCCACAGACATGAAGCAGATGGTCCGCCAGCCACTGGAGTGCATTCACACAAGGAGAGTCACCAGCAGAGACAAAGAAAAGAAGAAGATGTCTCTTTCCACAAAACCCATTTCAGA